TGTCATCTATCGTAGTCAGCCTTATGCCGCGCTGACCAAAGTGCAAATTTGATACTATTCCACAGGGTGGTTGACAATTATGACAAGGAGTTTAAGAGAGGATTTATACGGAAGAGGTCAAAATCATGAGTTTTGTCAGGCGTCAGAAATGGATCGATGAGGCCACGGCCATGTGTCAAAGATTCATGCTGGGTACGGCGTTATTACCCAAGTATATTTTGTTGAGCTGCCTTTTGCTACTGTCCTTCAATGTTGCGCCGTTTGTGAGCCTGGGGATCTCAGTGCGGCGTCTTGTACGACGAGATTATGGCGACGCCGGAGGAGATGTTGCCAACAGAGCAAAACTGAATGCCGCACTGGACATCTTCTATGCTCTAGCTCTGTTGCAGAGTCTATTCGTCGTGTACTGGGTTGCCCTTCAAGTGATGTTAGACGCGTCAGTTTTGGAAGTCACGGCTGTGACGAGCAAACAATATGGAGGTGAAGAATGGAGTTTAACGCTAGTTGATATGTACCGTTCAGAAACAAGAAGGAAGTTTAGGAAGGACGGGGAGCTGCCCGGCAATTGGAACTTCATCAGCTACGGCGTTGAGTTGCTCCAGTCTGCATCTGGGGAGGATGACCACCGATGGGGAGCAAGGATACTAGACAAGCTGATCTCTGGCAAGGATAAATCTGTAAGGCAGGAGCTGCTATCTTCCAGGCTCTCTATTCAGAATCTGATGGGCATGATTGGTCGTCGGAGAGGCGCAGCTGATGGTGACATGGAGAACAGAGAGCGCGCCACAACCATTGTTGCACACCTTGCCAGTGACCTCCATATAACAAGCTTCCCGGGTACATTGCAGTGCATTTGTTCCCTACTTGAAAGCACTAGCAGCTGTGACTGTGAACCAAAGTCGCATGCCTGTCCGTCGGGAAATCCTGATGAACAGGCGACACTGCCTACCGATGAAAATGATCATCAGCATGGGTCACTGGAAACATCCGAGCATCAAGACGATGGTACCCACATGGACATGGTAGCGCCCACCATCACAGACCAAACTGACGAGGAACGACAAGCAGTCGTCGTCAGTTCATCATCTTCCGGGTTAGCCGCCAAGAGGAAAAGAAAACAGATTAAGAAAGACTTTGAGGATAATCCCATCATCAGGGTCCGGCAACTAGACAAGGAGCTGAAGAAATATTCTGAATCCAAGTACCGCCGCTCCTATAAATCTAGAGGAGCCAAAGAGCTGATTTCTCAGGGCCTCCTGATTCTTGAGAGGCTCACACAGGACCAAGGGAACTGTACAGAGATAAGTAAGGACCAAAGCCTCCTCTCTAGGATCACGTCACCACTGATGAGAAGCGCAAGCCATGGCGACTTCCTCACCAAGCTGAGCGACAACACAACGGTTGAAATGCTAAGCAAGTCACTCACAGTGCTGAGCAGGCTACTTACCGGTGCTGGAGATGACGTAACAAGGCTGCATCAGAAGCTGGCGAGTAACACAGAAGCTGTCAGCAATCTGATGGGTATCTTGGAGAATGACAGTGAAGGTGCCCAGAAACTGCATGAACAAGCCCTGGAGATCCTGACAGAGTTAGCATTCGATGGTTCTTTCAAAGAACTGGATTTTAACAAGCTTTTCAAGGCCCTGCTACGTATCTTCCTCGAGAAAGAGACTAACAATATTACAAAGCAAGAGCCCAACAATAATGCTACATCTCAAGTGGAACCAGCGGACACAGAGAGAGCACCCAAACTGAGGGGAAATGCAGGGGAAGCACTGGCCAGACTGCTTCCTGTTCGCGCTGCAAGAGGTATAATTTCCAAGCAAGAGGCGATCGACTTATTGAACAAGGTAACTCGCAACCTTTGCCTCTGCATCGCTTGTTATCTTGTTTGCAGTTTCTGAGATGTCACTTAAGCATATTATTTCTGTAGGTTCCAAATACTTTCCCCCACAGTTCATACGCTGATACGCATTTAGTGTGTTTGGGTCTACATTAGTATCCCTTCCGATCCCAAACATACACCATTTTACTAAGATAAATCCACCCGTTCCAAATTATAGGTCGTTTTGGGTTTTCTGAGTTCATAGATTTTTATTATGTATCTAGATATAGATTATGTATAGGTACATAATAAAATCTATATTTGTAGAAAGTTAAAATGATTTATAAATTGGAATGGAGGGAGTACTCTGTGATATAGGTTGTTTTCTAGGCAATTTGGTCATCGATAACCATTTAAGCTGCTACCTGATATTGGCATCAGATACACTACACTAGTTCATGAAACCATACTCTCGCACGGCCGGTAGAATCTTAGGAGATATAAACATAAGATGCCATTTTTTAATACCTCTGACTAATTAAAAATACTTGTATTAATCTGCATGTTTTGTCTCTTCTGTCATTTTCTAACACAAGACATAATAGATAATTTGTACTCTCTAACTAGTTATGATAAACTTATCAATTCCTAATCAATATTTTTTCATCTATATCTATTTTTTTTATTTTACACGGCACCTCTGAGCATGAATTTAGTTATAACCTTAACTTAAATAACGGTGGCTCTTATTTCAGCACATATCTTATGACATCATGAATTTAAATTTTAATTATCAAATTTAATCTATACATATTTTTTATCCTCAAGTTAAGTTAATACTTGTATCCTTATTGTATCTTTTATTATGTTCTTTAGTATTTTTTAAAATAAGGTTTTAGATCATAGATTACACTCTTGAGTACTAAGATGGTATAACATTGCTCAAGATTAGTGGTAGAGCTTGAACTGAGATTTAGAATAATGTTGCAGTGCTAAAATTAAGAGGATATTAATTTAAGTCTTATAATGACTTGTTATTCCAAAGAAATCTCAAATGCCAAGAAGATTATAGCCACCTGTAGTCCGCATTAACCTCTCCACTTCTCCAGATGTTTGAATTTTATTATGAAGGAATTATATGTGCAGTAATAGTTTTAACATCAAGAAAGATATGTCAAATATTTTAGTTAAAATGTAAAAATAGATCTAAATTTCTATGGCTATTAATATTGTTTTAAACACTTCGTTGGTATCATTAGTATATTAGGGGTTTATTTTGAATTATGTTTCATAATGGCAGGTGTAGGCAATTTAGATGAAAATCTAGGGGGTTATGACATAGATGGGTAATTTATATACAAATTTAGAGTGTTCTTGAATTATCTTTCATAATAGCAGAGGAGGGTAATTTTGATACAAATTTGGGTTTTACTTAATGTATTTTTCATAATGGTAAATGTGAGTATTTTTTTTATAAAACAGAATAGATGTAATGGCTATCATTGGCGATGATGATTAGATCGTACTAAATTAAAGACCAGATGTATTTTATTATTGCAATAATTTCTAGCCGCTTTTGGTGAGAATTAACATAGAGGCTCTGTTAGGACCTCTAGTTAGTAATAGTAGTATGCATACGAAACTACAAGGGTCATCTTAATTTGTTCAAATAATCCATTAACTCCTCTCAATAATTTACGTACAGATAAAATGTCATGCTTGTTTCACTAGGGATGAATTGCATCAATCTGTATCATGTATGATACGATCGTAGTATTGCTGATCATTTGTATTAAATTATGTTTCTTGCAGGTTCTCCATAAAATACTATCTAGTAAAATGGGAACAACTGCAGATGCGGTAGAGATTGTCGTAGAAAACCAGCCCCAAGAAGATGCAGACACTGACAGTGTACAGCCTCCCATTCAGGAAAATGAAAAGCAATCTGAAGAAAGAAAATTTATGGCAGCCATGTTATCCCTCGCCGTGGTGATATGCAACGAAAATATGATCAGTAAAGAAGATTTTGCTTGTGCCACCCCTCGAGATGGAGCAGTGGCAAAGAAGCTCAAGGAAATATTACAAGTAAACAAACAGAGCACGGCTCAGTGTTTGAGGATAGTGAAGCTTACCTGCCAGGTGGTTATAGTCATGATTGAAGTGAAACCCAGATGCATCGCACATTTCAATGAACACAATTTCAAGGGAACACTGGCCGAGGCATTGGAAACCATGTCGGAGGTTGATGACTGCATGCTCTTTGCTGGGAATGAATGTGAGGTGATCAAGCCTGCGAGGTCTCTTACTTCTCTTGTGAAGGAAGCACATGAACTCCTGAAGACAGCATAAGAACAGGGCAACTGGTATGTCTGAATGATCAAGGGGACATCGTTAAGTATATATATTATTGTTATCAATATCTGAATGGAACCTGGACGTGCATATCGTGCTTCTGAAACCCTCCGGTGCCTAATAGATTGGTTCTGGGTTTGATGTGCGTAGGTATTTGTTTGAGGCGAGCTCCTCTTATTTATAGTACTGTGGATCCGGGGCCGATCCAAAAAGACTTGCCTAATATATTAGGCACTAGTTTTGGTGGATTTATTACTTGTGTACAAATAAGTTAACATGTTGGCTGAGATCACGTTCGAACATGTACTTGTTAGCTGAGACGACCTCATTCTCAATTCCTGTTTCTTTTGACATGTTTGCTTCAATTCTCCACAGACATTACAAGGGCACGGTGTCACCACTCTTTATTGAAGGCTAGTTGCTATTAGGCGAAACGAAATTGTGCTGGTCTGTCCTTCAAGAATGACTGGGCGTCAAGCCGTTGAGCAGACCGTGGATACAATACATCAGACATCTTGAACCTAATAAGTGAATCGAAAGTGAACGGGTCAACAGGTGCTGAAGATTTCACCTCTTGGTTACACACAGAAAGAGGCATCATCACTCAGCTTCAAGTGTTATTCGTGCTATCGGTTCTCCTGCACGCGGTTCAGGTCGTCTTGGGCTGGCGGCAGCGGTGCTCTACAAATGCATACATCAAGCACTCGCTCTGGCTGGCCTACACCATCAACACCCCTCTTGTGATCTATACTCTTGGGCTTGCACGGTCGTCTCCGCCTTCTGCTGCGAGCCAGTTGCTTCAGCGTGTGCTTTTCCGTTCGTCATGGCCCTGGGGAGCACCAACTCCATGACAGCCTACAGTGTTGACGACAACAAGCAGTACATGAGGCACTTCATCCAGCAGCTTCTTCGTGTGCTCAGCCTCTTCGCCATGTGGAGAGCTAACGAAACGATTCTTACAAGCTCCAGTTTCCTTGTGCCCCTCTTGTATCTATTCTTGGCTGCTTTGTTGCTCTCAGTGAATGAGGGGAGGATTTACGCAAGCATGACTGCGAGTAGTTTCCTGGACAAACAAAGCAGATATGTTCAACTTCACATGAAGAGTGAGCACACGAAATCAACCAACTATAATCCTGTTACCCTGCATGGTTACAAATACCCATTCTACGAGGACTATAATGACCACGAAGACACAATAATTACGCTAGACAGGATCTGGTGCTCTAATGAAGGCCCATTAGGCACAAGTGATGGCAACAGCTGAAGGAGGCATGCCTTTCGTTTTCCTTGTTTCGGCTGTTGAGGCGCCGTTTCTTTGGGCTTGCTTGTCCAGAAGCCAAAGCCAAGGTTAAGAAAACTTGTCACCTTGTTTTCAAAGGATTGCTACGTGCAGAGGAAAACTATGAAGCTGCATATAGGGTGATTGAGGCAGAGCTGGCTTTTGCACATGATCACTTCTTCACCAGCTGCGCTTCATTCTTCTGAGCATTGCTAAATCTGTTATATATCCTGTCACAATACTGAGTTCGATCAAGGACTTCATCCACAGTAAAAACAAGAGCAATGACTCAACGGGGACAGTAATCGGAGGAGGATTTGACCCCATCGTTACTGCACTAGTAGTAATGATAGTGCTTATAGCACTGGAGCTGCTGCAGCTCTATCTTTATTTGTCATCTGATTGGGCTAAGGTAAAGCTTGTTCGCCGGTCTATATATTTTTTTCTCAGAACAAATAAGACAGCATTGGTCCATCTGGTCCATCTTTGGGGCAGACACTTGTTTTGGAATGTTTGGCCTCTTCACTTTTCTTGGACTTGATAGGCATTGCAATAAGCTTCCCAGGATATTGGGATATTGGCAAAATAAGGTTGGCCAGCACGCATAACTAAAGGATTTGCATGGCCGATCATACATCGTTGATATCATGGGAGGCATGTCTGGGTGTTTCTTTGGTAAGTGTCTTGAGTTCCATCCGGTATTCTCAAGAGGGATCATAAACTCATGCATCAAGGGGCCATACCACATTCAGTTGACCATCGAAGTGAAGCTAGCAATTGCCAGAACTCTGAAAAAAGCCAAAAAGCGTCGCCTATCAAATGGAGCATCCTCATTCAAACGGAACAAACAGAGTGAGTTTCGATGGGCATTTGATCACACCAAAACCATGTTGATTTAGCATGTCGCTGTTAGTTATATAGGATCATTTGGAGCATAGATCTAGCCGGTAGAGTGGTTCTATTCAGGATAAAAGATGCAGCGCATCCTAATACATGTAGAACTAGAGAGACAGAGAGGGAAGGGAGAAGAACATGTCGAACCTGACACCGCAAAGGGAGATGGTCCAGAAGCCGCCATCTCGTTCGTCGGTGAAGTCTGCGCACGGACAGCGATGTTCGGGGAAGAGGTCGATGAAGTCATCGACGTCGGTGGAGCGGGGTGGCGCGGCTGGTGGCTTCCCGTCACTGGCTGCGCCCCTCTCTGATCGGGATTTGGGTTTAGGTTTCGGTGGGGAGCTCGGCTCAGGCGAACCTAGTACTCAGAGCCGCCGTCCCCTACCTCTATATATTGCGCAGTGTGATAGGGGCCCTCCAGCCATAGTGGGCTGGGCGCCCCCGATCAGGGCGCGGATCAAAGGCCCAACTGGGCCGTTGGGCCCAGTTTGGGATTAGAGATCAATCTAACAATCTCCCCCTTGATCTCCTACCATCTTTCAATTTCATATCATTTACTTTTGTTCATTCCATTACAGATTAGCGCATAGAGCATGTTTCATCGCCACAGTCGATTGCCGATAGATTTAACAACTACAACATACCACTCTGTTCTGAAATAGATACTTAACTTTGGGCCTTCTTTTATCTAGCAATTATAGGATTTCCCTTAAATCCATGCCGGCTACATGTTCTCTGAATACGTTGCGTGGTAAGCCTTTTGTAAGCGGATCCACGAGCATCTTTTCGGTACTTATATGCTCAAGACTTATGACATGATCCCAGACTTTATCTTTCACAACATAATACTTTATGTCAATGTGTTTGGCAGCACCACTTGACTTATTGTTGTGAGCATACTGTACTGCCAAATTATTATCATAGTATAACTTAAGTGGTCTATAGATGTCGTCAACCACCTTCAAACCGGGTATGAACTTCTTTAGCTAGTTCATCTGCCCCATTGTCTCATAACACGCTACAAACTCGGCATACATTGTGGACGATGTAGTGACGGTTTGCTTTGAGCTTTTTCATGAAATAGCTCCCCCTACGAAAGTGAATACATATCCAGACGTGGATTTTCTATCATCTCCCGCATAATCAGATTCTAAATATCCCACTATATGGAGTGAATCTGATCTTCTATACGTCATCATGAGGCTTTTCGTTCCTTGCAAATAACGTAAGACTTTCTTTACTAATTTCCAGTGTTCTGTTCTAGGATTGCTCTGAAATCTGCCAAGTAACCCGGTAACAAATGCCAAGTCAGGGTGCGTACATACTTGAGCATATTGTAAGCTTCCGACAGCTGAAGCATATGGAACCGTTTTAATTTGATCGATCTCATACTGATTCCTGGGGCATTGAAAATCCCCATATCTGTCGCCCTTGACTATAGGAGCAGGTGAGGGGCTACATTTGTGCATATTGAATTTCTTTAAGATCTTTTCTATGTATGCCTTTTGTGACAGTCCTAATACCTCTTTACTTCTATCTCAGTGAATCTTGATCCCTAGAACGAACAAAGCTTCACCAAGATCTTTCATATCAAATTTTGAGGACAAAAACTTCTTTGTCTCCAGTAGTAGACTGATATCACTGCTAGCAAGTAAGATATCATCCACATACAGGACAAGGAAGATAAACTTCCCATTCTTAAACTTTGCATAGACACAATTGTCCTCTACATTCTCTTTAAACCCAAAATTTCTTATTGTCTGATCAAACTTCAAGTACCACTGTCTTGAAGCTTGCTTTAATCCATAAATGGATTTCTTTAGTCGGCATCTCATTCGTTCTTTTCCTTCCATGACAAAACCTTTCGGTTGTGCCATGTAAACATTTTCCTCCAAGTTCCTGTTGAGAAATGCCATCTTTACATCCATTTGATGTAATTCTAAATCGTAATGTGTCACTAATGCCATTATGATTCTGAAGGAATCCTTACATGAGACTGGAGAAAAGGTCTCATTATAATCAATGACTTCTCTTTGCGTAAAGCTTTTTGCCACAAGTCGCGCTTTATATCTCTCTATATTCCCTTGAGAATCAAGTTTTATTTTGTAGACCCATTTATAGCATACTGTTTTGACTCCTTTAGAAATTATTTCTAAGTCCCAAACTTTATTGGCATTCATAGATTTCATTTCATCTTCCATGGCCTCGAGCCACTTTGATGAATGATCACTTCTCATGGCTTCTTCAAGTGAGGTGGGATCATCCTTGATTTAAAATTCCTCAGTGTGTATACTTCATAGTCAGCAGGAATAGCTGATTTTCTAACTCTTTGAGACCTTCTAGGGACCTCCACATTTGGCACATCTTCTGTTTGAGACTGTTGTTGCTCCCCCTCATGTGTGGCAATAGGTTCTACAGGATCCTGAAGAACAGGTTCCTCATCGTAATTCATTGTTGCCACAGGTGGAATAACAACAGGTGCTGGCACCATAGTATCTTGCACTGTCGGTGCAGCGACAGTAGGTAGTGAGAAAAATGGCTCATGAATCATTGGAGTGGGAGCATACACCCGCTTCTCTTCAAGGTCAATTTCTTGAGCTACCATGCTCCCCCTCATCATTTCATCCTCTAGGAAGACAGTGTGTCTCGTTTCCACAAACTTTGTATGTCTGTCTCAGTAGAAACGAAAACCTTTTGACTTTTCTGGGTAGCCAATGAAATGGTAACTTACTGTTTTAGGATCTAGCTTCCCAATGTTTGGGTTAAATACTTTAGCCTCAGCAGGACTTCCCCACACACGTAAGTGGTTTAGTGAGGGTACTCTTCCTATCCACAACTCATACGGTGTTTTGGGCACCGACTTACTTGGTACTCTATTGAGAATATGAATGGCGGTTTTTAACGCCTCCATCCACAGGCTCAATGGTAAGGTGGAGTAACTTATCATACTGCGCACCATATCCATCAGGGTACGATTGCGTCTTTCAGCTACTCCATTCTGCTGAGGTTCGCCCGGTGTAGAATACTGGGCTACTATGCTATTCTCCTGTAAGAACATTTTAAAAGGTCCAGGAACTTGGCCATATGGGGTATGCCGACCGTAGTACTCCCCCCCATGGTCGGACCTGACTATCTTAATCTTTAAATTGTGTTGGTTTTCAACTTCTTCCTTAAATATCTTAAATTTATCCAATGCTTCTGTTCTTTCTTTGATTGGATAAATGTAGTCATAACAGGAGTAATCATCTGTGAATGTTATGAACGAATCATAACCATCCACACTCTTTACAAAAAACGGACCACAGATGACTATGTGAATAATCTGTAAAATTCCTGCGCTTCGTTTGGCATCTTTCTTAATTTTCTTTACATACTTTCCTTTTATGCATTCTCTGCATTATTCTAAATCTGAGAACTCTAATGGAGGAAGAATATCATTCTTAACTAGTCTTTCTATTCTCCCCCTCGAAATATGGCCTAAACGACAGTGCCATAATTTTGACGACGCATCATGAGCTCTCTTTCGTTTTCTGTTTACATCCGCAGACGAGGATACATTCTCATTATCACACGCAACGTTCTCATCATCGCATACAACATTCACATCATCACGTAGTGATAACAAATAAATCTCATTTTGTAAGATAGCAAGACCAACACATGCATTATTAAATGTTATCTTACATTTGTCATTTCCAAAATGGTAATCATATCCATCATTATCCAAGCATGAAACACTAATCAAGTTTCTCTGTAAAGAGGGAACATAAAGTACATCTCTAAGTAAAAGTGTGAAGCCATCAGCAAGCTCTAGAGAAAGATCGCCAACGGCTTCAACATCTGCTCGGACTCCATTTCCAACTTTAACGTGTCTTTCTCTTCTTTGCGTAGTCCTCGTCGAACGGAATCCCTATAAAGAATTAGAAACATGAATAGTTGCACCTGAGTTAATCCACCAAGGAGAAGATTTCGAATACTGTACATACAGGGATTCATTTATGAACGTAATAATGTTCTCACCTTTCTTTGCCATGATCATCTTTAAGTAATCGGGACAATCTTTCTTATAATGTCTCGTCTTCTTGCAATAG